TCTCCCCATATAGACCTACCCAGTCATTAAGATCTGCTGGGGAGCCTTCCTTCATATCCCATCATTGAGAGCAATACGTTACGTGGGGGTGAAGGAGAGAGCTTTCTCAGTGATATTACTTTGGTTTTCAGATGGCCTCACAATGGAGGCCAAAATTGTCTTTGTTTTGGTGCTATCAAAACCTGGTTATTGAGCAAGCATTAGGTACCTAGTGGGACCATAGTTTGGTCTAGTCTAGTTTGCTAGTTTCTGTCTTGTTAAAAATGGTTAAACTGCTCTGAATTATTTTTAACACATTTTATATTGTTTGAAAGTAGCTGAACTGCTTTAAACTCTTTATAATAAATTTTATTGGCTTTGTCTGCTCTGAGATATAGTGACAAAAGGCAAGTTAATATATTTATCCCTTGAATTGTCCTGGTCTGAATAGCACGGTTTTGATTATAGAATATCCCACAATCAATCAATCATTCAACCAATCAATCAATCAAGAGCCCCATGAGTTTTACACCAAATGTTTCAGTATACTTACCCGCAAACACAGCATCTCTAATTCACAGCATCTCTAGATTGGGGCTCATAAAGACCTTTTCCTCTTCCATAGTGTTGACAATTCTTTCTATACTTTGTGGAAAGGATTATAAATGTTATGGAAGATAACTCTGATAGAGAGAACTCTGTGTGTGTGTGTGTGTGTGTGTGTGTGTGTGTGTGTGTGTGTGTGTGTGTGTGTGTGTGTGTGAGAGAGAGAGAGAGAGAGAGAGAGAGAGAATCAACTGTTTACACTTTGTAGTTACATTTTGAGAGAGTTATACATGGATTTTGAGCTATATACGGGCCCAGCATCCCTAACCCCAGCATCCTTGAATGCAAAAGTGTAACACCTATGTGTCATCAAGTGGATTCTGACTTATGGCAGCCCTTGCCAGGGTTTTCCAGGTATACTGTACCTAGGAAACTCTGGCAAGGTTCGCCATTTATTTCTTAAGGCACTGTAGGCCTGTTCAGCTTGCCTAAGGCTACACAAACTGGCTTTTCTTCCAGAAGGCACTGTGGGTAATAAACTCCAAATCTCTGGCTCTGATGTATATTGCACTGAACTAACTATCCAGCTAGCATAAGGCAAATTCGAAAGACTTAAAGAAATAACAAAATCATTGGAAAATGTATTAAAACAGCACCTGTCCCATGTTTCACATGGACGAGATGCCTCCTTAACTGGCCTACTTTCCTAAGTGAGCCCTACTCCTCTTCCTCCTTGGTGTTCCGGTTGCCCATCTGCTTGTATTTCCCTCAGAAACCAATTGGCATCAACTCCCAAGCAGAAGGACAACAGAATGTGAGGAAATTGCTGTTATTTCTCTTTGCTTCTCTCTCTACTTGATAGCTGAGAGAAGGCCTGTGAATAAAAAGCAAGAGCAAGGAAGAGAAGTAGATCTGGAAAGTTACTGTTTATGAGTAGGCACCTGCAGATACCCAAAAATCACACACAGCTCATGGTCCGATCATGAATCATACACTGATCAGCCATAACATTAAAACTACTGACAGGTAAAGTGAATAACATTGATTATACAGTTACAATGGCACAAAGAGATATATTAGGTAGTAAGTGAACAGTCAGTTCTTAAGCTCTATGTGTTGGAAGCATAAAACATGGGCAAATGAAAAGATCTCAGTTACTTTAACAAGGGCCAAATAGTGATGGCTAGACAATTGGGTCAGAGCATCTCCAAATCTTCTCGGGTGTTCCTGGTATGCAGTGGTCAGTGCCTACAAAAAGTGGTGCAAGGAAGGACAGCTGGTGAACTGGTGTTGGGGTTGTGGGCACCCAAAACTCAATGACACACATTGGGAGTGAAGGTTGGCCTCTCTGGCCCAAGCCCCCAGAATTTTAAAGGAGCCCTGGCTAGACTTTAAAATGAAAAAATCATGGCCGATCTTTTCTCTTCCTCCCTGCACCAGCAGAGGGGAGTGCCAAAATCCAGGATCAGAAGACAGGTAAGTATTTCTCTATGGCGATTTATGGCTCGCGTGCCCACAAAGAGGGTTTTGTGTGCCAGGTTTGCCATCTCTGCACTAAGAAGAAAGAAGGCCAATGGAGACAGTGTTGTGTTCTGGGCAATATTTTACTGGGAAACCTTGGGTCCTGGCTTTCATGTGGGTGTTACTTTAACATAGATCACTTTCCTAGAGGTTGTTGCAGACCATATATAACATTTCATCGCAATTATGATGGTGGTGGCAGTGGCCGGAATGATTTGAGGAACAAGACAAAGAGTTCAAGGTGTTGCCTTCGCCTCCAAATCCCCCAGAATCTCAATCTGATTGAACATCTTTGGTATGTGCTGGAACACCAAATCCGATCCATGAAGGCTCCACCGCACAACTTGCAGGACATAAAGGATCTACTGCTAATGTTTTGGTGCCAGATACCACAGGACATGTTCAGAGGTCTTGTGGAATCCATGCCTCAACACATCAGAGCTGTTTTGGCAGCAGGAGGGGGGACTACATGATACTAAGCAGGTGGTTTTAACGTGGCTGATCAATGTAGCCATCCATTTCAACAGTGCCTATCTTAGCACTGGCACTGCGTAACTCTAGCAAGACTGTATCTTTCTGAAAATCAGAGTATTCTAACACCTAACTCTGTACTTCCATTGTTTTCTTCTGCATGATGACTTCAGGATGACACAACAGTCCTGAAGCACTGCAAGTTTTATGTACATAGTAATTTAAAGATGAAATCACTCTAGGCTTCTGTCAAATGATAAATGCATTCATCTTTACAATGCAAAATAATCAATGTTGTTTTGCTGAAGCAGACCAACTTGCGTGGTCTTCTAAAACCCATTTGGGCATGGCAATAACCAAATTCTTGCCAGAGCCTGATTTGCTTTGATATTCTAGAATAAACAGAAAGCAATGTAAATTCAGAGAGTCAACTGCTTTCAACAGGAACAGGGACTCCTCCCTTGACTGTAATCCTGGGAAGTGACTATGAGTGGAATGCAGCACTTTAGCCTTTTCCAGCCTGGTGTCTTGTGAATGCTTTTGATATCATACCTCATTAGCCCCAGCCAGCATGGCTAATAGTGAGGGATTACAAAGGCTCTAGTCCAGAACCAGAGGGCAACAGAGTGAGGCCAGGTACAGCTTTCTGACAGTAGCCCACAGGAGTCAATAAGGAGGTAAGGGGGGGAGATTGTGACAAAAGTGGTCCTGAATTTGGACACTGCTGTTAATTGAATACATTCATTTCCATCTCTTTTACTTACAACCCAGGCAACAGGTTGCAATCAAGTAACTGAGATAATAATTGTCTTGTCAGAGCAGACAATGGGCTAGGCATACCAGGATTCTATTTTCATTATCAAAGAATTTGTAAAGAAATGACAGAGAAGTTAGTTTTTTGGTCAACTCCCAAAATCCCCTTGACAGTGGGCTTCTCAGTGATAGCTTTTTGGGGAGCGTGATTATTTATTTATGGTCTCTCAGGTATCAATCTTTCTTTCCCATCTTCTGGTAAACATCGGCCTTGTCCTGGCTTTGGATACAAAGGCTCCATTTGGTTTTAATAACTTCCATTTATGGATAGACAGCTTCCTTTGGTGGATACAATATTTTGCCCGTTACCCAGCTTTTGCAATATTCCTCTGTGGGTTGAAGAGATGGGGCGAATCCTCCCTGGGAGAAGGCAGGCTTGCCAAACGCTTATGCTCTGCAAATGTGTTTTGTTGCACGCCTCATGATTACAGCTTGACGTAAACAAATAAAATGTCTCTGTTTCAGTGTCTCTGTCAAGAAAACTATAATGCGTGACACACCTGCCCCTCAAGGAGGAATGCTGGCTTCTGGGGGCAGAGGGGTCGGAGGGTCTCTCACCCACCTGTGGAAAAATCTTGCACAGGCTCTTTCCTGGTCCTGATGGGGTTAAATTGCTGAGCCGTTATTCACACACACTCCGTTTGGCATTTCCACTGGAGCCTTCCTGTATGAGTAGCGAGTAAAAAACGGAATTGTGATTCAGCCTCGCGTGTTTTTCTTTGAAATGAGCCTCCCATTTATGTAAAAAAACAGTTCTTACCCACCACCCCCAGACTTTGGAATTTCCCTTCCTCCGCCGTGTCACCTCTCATGCATCCTCGCCCGTTACTGGGGGGAGAAAGAGAGAGCCCCACCGCGCTTGCCGCAGCCCCGCGACCCGCCGCGGCTTTTGTACTGGAGCCGAAGCCTCCCGCCCCCTCCTCCCCGAGTTGAAGCGCCGCCTCTTTTGCGGAGAGAATTTTGTTTCTGATTTGAGTCCGGGAGGACCAATCAGGGCCCTCGAGGAGGCTTTTTTCCCCTCCTCCGCCCGTCCCGCTTTTCTGGGCTGTCAGCTCGCGAGCCCCCTTTTCTCTCCCGCTTCTGCTGGCTCTGGTGGCGAGCCGCCTTTGGCGCGTCTCTGCTCCAGCCCTCCAGCCAGGCTGCCTCTTGACTCGCGGACGGCTGCTTCCTTTCACACATACCCACGCACACACCCCGAGCGAGCCGCTCCGCGCGGAAACCTGTGTCCCTGCTGCCCCATCTCCGACATGAGGCGGACGCGGCTCTGCCTCCTTCGGCGTTGACAGCAGGAATCCGCCTATGCCGGGCAGCACTTCTGGAGCCGCCGCCGCCGCCAAAGCACCAGCCTGGGGAAATGCCGCCGCCACCAGCACTCTTTTAACGATTTAAATGTCATCCATGGACCTCTCTCCCTCTACTCCGGCATTTTTTTTCCTGTGCAGGAATACTATGATTAAGGAGCTTGGGCTCTCTGAGGCTCGTCTCCAAGGGCATACATAGGCTGTTAACGCACTGAGCTACAGCTGCTTCTTGGCTAAGGTTGAAGGAAGACGTCTTAAGCCTGGAAATCCTGCTTGTGCTTGCGCTCTAGCACACTTACACTTTACGCGCACACACTCTCACTCACTCACTCATTCACTCTCTCACACACACACATACACGGGCAGCACAAGACGCATATGCTAGGGCAGGTCCGTTTCCCTCTCTCGCACACCTTTTTTATTCCAAAAGGCTGCTTCACTTTCTCAGTTCTCATTGGGGGAAATAAGGAAGTAAGAGAGTCTCCTGTCTCCGAGGTCACACATTACAGAAATCGGCTACTGCAGAGAATCAGCAAGTTAAACAACAGTAAAAGAGGAGGAGAAGGAGGAGGAGGAAGGACCTTGATTGAGAATAAATACTAAACATCAAAGGAGACAAGTGGAAGGCGTGCCACCTGCGTGGAAGAACTAGTTCCAGCTTAAAACTGGAGGATTATCTTCTTCCTTACATTTCCCTTTCTTGTTCATTATTATTTTGGGAGCAGGTTGTATAATTCAAGAATACCATCTTTGCAAAAGCTGTGCAGGCTCTCCTCCCTTGGTTGCTGCTGCTGTTGCTGCCCACTGTCTGTCCTGTTCCTGTTGCTGACAGAAACGTGTTAACGAAGCAGAAAAGAGGAGGAAAAATGCCAGCCATCCTGGTAGCCTCCAAAATGAAATCTGGACTCCCCAAACCTGTCCACACTGCTAGCCCTATTGTTCACGTCCCGGCGGCAAGGACCATCCCGCAGCCCTGTTACCTGAAGTTTGGGAGCAAGGTGGAGGTGAACAAGTCCTCCTATTCCAGCCAGATTCCCCTCAAATCCCATTTTGGTCATGAGAACACCGGAGATGGCTTCCCTTTGAAGAAGAGTGGCTCCACAGAAAATGGCTTTGATCCACAGGTCAGCAAAATGGGTATTAGCATGGCAACAGTGTGTGGGTTGTGTCTGGTGGAAATCTCTTGAGCATGTGCCTGGTTGCCAATAATGCAGGCTTGTGCTGTGATGCTAAAGATGTGTGTGGTGCATTTCTGGGGACACAGGCTGGAAGGGAATAGGATTTTTGCAAGTACATGCTGATAGTAAGGTGTTCTGAAACCTTATGATTTTTCTGCATTGTGCTGGGTGTGTTCCTATTTGTGGTGACCTGAATATTTTCATGATGGTGGGGAAATGGATGCATGTGCTTTGTTTGCGGTGTCGGTGTAAGACCCCAAGTTCATATAATATGGGCTGAAGTGGGTGTGTTAGTGTATCTTTCTGATGGCACAAGGGGAGCTCCATGTAGAAACCACATCCTGGGATTTGACTGAGCATCTTACTGCTATATGTAGCTGAGTTTGTAGGAGGGTTGTATGTATAGCAACATGTGTGAGGTGATAATGAAACATGTTCTGTATTATGCTATACAAGGAATATACTTGTGGCAAAATGTATCCTGTAATACATGCTGACGGTATTGACTGAATGTATGTGTATTGACAATATTTCACATATACACACCCACCCCCCCGTGTGTGTGTGTGTGTGTGTGTGTGTGTGTGTGTGTGTGTGTGTGTGTGTGTGTGTGAGTGAGAAAGAGAGAAAGAGATTACACATGTTTCTAATTGATGAATGAAAGAGGCATTCTCCTTGATCACTACCTGGAGAAAAATAGACTAATTGGAATTTCCTCTTGTCTATATAACAGATAATACTGTATATATATTCTTGTCATCTGGGATAAAACGATTTCCTTTGACCATGCCACATTCAGATTTTGCTTGTACCCATATTTGGCAGCCTCTTTAAATAAGGCTGCTTTATATAGCAGCAACTGTGTGTGTGTGTGTGTTCTGACTTATTTTATTTGTGTTTTAGCATTTTCAGTGTGGACTGCCTCAATCTTGCCAATGCCCTCATGTGTTCCGTGGCAGTGTAAACAGATAGTAAATGCTCCCACACTCCTGGGTGAGCAAAGCAGATGGTCTGCTTGCCGCAAAGGGGACTAATTAGCATGAGCTTGAGAGAGGTTTGCCGTGTGGCTGGATCATGAATTCTCTGAACAGCTTTGCATGCATGCTGCAAACTCCTTCTGCAGCCGCTTGAACCTGCTAGCAAGTAGTGCAGCCATGTTGGAGTGGGAAGTTGTATGCTTGCAGAAGGATCCTTATTGGTTTGCTCTGCACCACCACTATCACTGGGAATGCCTGCAATATTGGGTCATAGCTGCAAATCTAGGTTTTGTACTCTGCGACCTCATAACCTATTGTGCAGAGGCACAACGGCATGGCTGCTGAGTGAGCTTGGCCTCCTGCCCTGTTTTTTGAGGGGATGCTGCACTTTCCATCCTAGCAGACAAGAGTGATGCACCAGAACTGACTCTATGTGGCTGTACCAGTTCCTGAGGGCTTGGGAGTCAGGAGAGGGACATGATAGGACTGGTGTCAGGGTAGTGACAGCAGACAGGCTGACCTTTGAATCACATCACACTCCCAGGCAGCTGGGGGAGGCAGCACAAATACTCTTTCGATCTTCTATCATTTCAGAGCATCCGGATAACTTCAACTTTTAACATACCAACTTCATGGAGGGGAATACGATTTAATAACCCTTGAGGTCTAGCATTTATGCCACTGATGCTACCACATATTTAGCACTTACTGCCGTATCACTGTGTGACATATATTTGAATAGGTTTTTTAAAAATCTGTTAATAGGTTTTCTTTTGTGGAGCAATGAAAGTAAAGTAGCTCACAGGCCCAATCTATATAGGTTAAAACCTGAGGAACTGTTTCACATTTGCAAATATCTATACTCATATTAGAATACAAGGTTCAATGGAAGTGCAACGTGTTTCTGGAATAGGTCTGATGTAGCTTTACTGGTAGTAACGGCAGGAACTCAAACATTGTATATTGCCCGGTTCTTTTCATTAACCCTGCCCTTCTTCCATAGTCATTATGTGGACCTTCACAGCTTGGCTTTTTTAGGTTGTTTCCAGTTAACCTTTGCCTACATTCTTCTTTGCAAAATGTGTGCTTCTTCTTTGTCTGTGTTAAATCAGTTGCAGAGCCATTGGGATGATGTATGTGCTATGTGTAGCTGTATATGTGATGTGTTCCACTGACACTAAATAAGTACTTAAGAGTTCTAGTATTGTCATTAGTCTGGTATGGAAAGTCTCAGATATGATGTTGCAGGCCGATTGTTACAAGTACAACTGTGGTCCTTTAACCATTTGCAGGTTTTATGTTTTTTGTTTTGCTCCTTGGTTTTTTTCTCAAAGTGATGGAATTTTTTTTAAACCATCAAACTCTACTGATTAATCTCTCTTGGTCTGAAAATCAGCAGAACCCCACAACTAGATGAGATTCTCCAACGGAATCCTCTGACCATTTTCTGTTGTGGCACTTGTTGGCGCAAGAGCATCAACATAAAATCTATCTGACTTCCTGAATTTCCAGTCTGAGTCTGAGTAAGGACTCAGCTGTGGATTGTAGGAGCCTCAGGGTAGGAAGGAATGAAGATGTTGACCACCAGTCACTGTGCTGTCAAGATCATCACACTACCCAGGGTCAAAGTCTAGGCCAGATGATAGAACATCATTTGCAAGAACAACATGCTGTTGGAAGTCAGTTGGATGCAGCAAGAAGAGCTTTGAACTCTCTCTGGCAGGCCATTTCTGTAAGGTCTAGTTTGACAAAAAGGAAAAGGCCATCTGCTACCTGATTTCCTATTAAAAGACTATACTAGTTTGTTCTCTTTCAAAAGCACACATTCATGTGGCTGCACAGCCATAGCAATGGTGGTGACTACCTGGGTATGTTTCCTCTTGTTCAGTGCCAGGAAGAAGAAAAATGGCTACAGGCTCTGGGAGAGCCAGTTGCCAATGTGCCTGAGACCAGGTCAGATTAATTGTCATCTCAACCAGTATCTTCTGTTTTTTCCATCTTCTATTATCTGGAAAATGGAAGACATCAGGGAATAATAAAACCATGCATTTCTCTTTACCATTTCCTCCTTTACAACAACAAGCTATACATGAAACAACAAGTTACAATAAATTTATCATCTGATCTTCACCTCTCTGACGAATTCTTTGAATTATGATGTAACATCTTCTTGCAGAGAAGGAGATGAAGAATCATGTTATCCTGAAATCTGACTCAACCATGTTTGACTACTCGTTTTCACACTGTGCAGGGCCTCATCAGATGAGGTGCTGATTCCAAATTTCAGAAGCAGTGCATTCTTAAGAGGAAAAACAATGGCTGACATCCTACTGCTTAGTATAGTAATTTGCACTAGCATAGGCCCCTTGAATTAGTAGGGATTTGGTGAGTCAACCCCTCTGTAAATTCCATTGATTCAAATGGACGTATTCTAGTTGCAACTTGCTTTAGCATAGGAAGTCCCAACCAAAGTGGGCCTATTTGAACCAACAGAATTTATGAAGGAGTTGAATCACCAGTTGCCCACTGATTCAGTAGGCCTATTCTATTGCAACTTAGTACCGGTATATTAAGCAATAGGATTTCAGTGTATCCGTTTATTATAATGCAAGCTTGCTCAGGATGCTTTTGCCAAATCAGTTTGCTTTTTTTGGTAATTTGTCAGTTGGGAAACAGCATGACTCTGTTTGCATTCTTAGGCAGGAGCCACTGAAAGATTTGTGTGCTTGGGGGGGGGTAACATTTTAAGAATAGACATTAATATGGGATCTGATGCTCACACTGACTCCTTCTTCGAGCTGATTCTTTAGTATCCTGATCTTCCTTCACTCTCAAAACCTTCCCCTAGCTTTTCCTTTCTTCGTCTCCTGCACCATCCACTTGCTTCTCCTTTAGTTAACTCCGTCTCCTAAAGCTATTTATATCCTGTGTTTCTTCCATCTTGGAAGACACTAGAATAACATAAAGTTCTAGGCAATCTCCAATCCAAGTACAAACCAGCCTAGAATTGTGTTCAGTTTTGCAACTTTGGTGTGTTTCAGGCTATAACCCGAGGACTTCCTATATGACTTTTAAGCTGCTACTTCATATATTTTCCTCACTCCCAACATAGAAAGGGTTCCCTAAGTTACTTTAATACTTAGAAATATTACATGAGAGGGATGATACTACATCCAAAGAAGAAATCTTTACCACTATGAACAAAGGATCAGATATTCAGCAGTATCTGCATTTTCTCTTTTGACAAGCATTTGTGTTGACTTTCATTTGTGTTGACTTTCTTATCAGAAACTGACAAATGTACCTACATTTATTCTGGAAAAGATTTAGCAGATGTAGATGTCTGCTCCAAATGGGATGTCAGTTTGGATTGCAGATTTCATAATACAGATCATGCAGATTTGTAATAACATCAACTCACATCCCTACATGGCCTTTCACAAAAGCCTCCATGTATCTACAGCAGGAGTCAGGGAACTTTTTTACCTTTTATCCCCCCCCCCCCAAAAAAAATGTATATACGCCGACATTACCCCCTTGATTCGAAAGGAAGGAAATCATACATTATTTGAATTAAAAATATTATTGAATCTACACAGGCTGTGCATCAAACTAGCAGGATGCACCAAATTTGATAAAGATGTGCACTATTTGGGCTGGAACACATTGCACTCCAGCCATGGTGTGGTATAGGGAGTAAACTAGCAGGATGCACCAAATTTGATAAAGATGTGCACTATTTGGGCTGGAACACATTGCACTCCAGCCATGGTGTGGTATAGGGAGTAATAGCAGGATGCACCAAATTTGATAAAGATGTGCACTTTTTGGGCTGGAACACATTGCACTCCAGCCATGGTGTGGTATAAGGAGTAGTAAGGTGCCCAACGTGCCTAGCAAGTTGCATTAAATTTTTATTAGCTCGCAGAGGATTTAATCATCATCAGTGGCTGCCAGAGTGGTGCTAGC